ATAGGACCGGTTGATATAACACAATTTCATACAATATATATATTTAGGGGGTCCCCGCTCCATCTTGTCATCAGTTTGGGGGTCCTTGGCCTGGAAAACGTTGAAGAACCCTGCACTAGAGTGTAACTGTGAGAATTGTAGCACAGTGTATAGTTACAGTATACTCGTGTATAGTGTAATACAGTATACTCTTACCACTGTCTCTTAACTCACTAAATCTTTTTTCTCTCTCCTTCTGTTCTCCTCTCCTTCACTCCACACCTCTCTTCCTCTCCTCTTCCCCTCTCTTCTTCTCTCAGTGTACAGTATGTGCATTGGAAACAAGCTGGCTGCTCATCTCAGAGGGCTAACCATAAATAAATCTGAAATCTTTAAGTTTCAAAAAGTTATGTAAATGAAAACTCAATATAAAAGCTGGATTTATATCGATATTATAGGACATATCTTGTGTTCTTTTGAAATGTATTGTTGTGAAATATGACATGTTAACTGTGACATGGTTTTTGGTTTATTTTAGGTCACTTTGCATTTGTCACTTTTGAGGATGGCTACACTGCCAAAATCTTTAAAACATGTGACATTCTGGATGCGAATGACAGCCCCATTGGACAGTTGGATGTCTTGAGGCCAGGAGAAAGGGTCCTAGCCAGATGGAGTGATGGGAGATTTTACAGCGCCACTGTGAATTATATTGGGCCAAATACAGGCATGCAAAAAAAACCCAAAAAGGACATAAGAAAGAATATCCCTGCAGATGTATATTATCGCCAGCACTCCTCCCCCAAGTTGACTGATGTCCACTCTTCAACAAATGTCAGCGCCCACTTTTTGCCATCGCCTCCTGTCCAGGGGCCTCCTTCCCAAGGCCACGCTCTGCCTTCGCCTCCTTCCCAAGGCCACGCTCTGCCTTCGCCTCCTTCCCAAGGCCACGCTCTGCCTTCGCCTCCTTCCCAAGGCCACGCTCTGCCATCTCCTCACACCCTCAAACAGTACACTACCCTGTACCCTCCGAAACGGCCTAAGCCACTCCACCTCAATGTGGATTCGCCAGTGCAATGTGAGTCGCAGGCACACAGTTCAACCAATATTCTGATTCCTTCCACAACCAAGATGATGCTAGTTCAGACTTCTCGCCCTGAGACAGATGAAAATCTGAGCACAAGTTCATCTTCTTGTACAAGCACCCTGATAGTTGACAGAAGCCCTCAAAGTGAATATGGAGAACCCATTGAGGATGTAGCACAGAGTGACAGAAGGTCCTGGCAGCCATGTCAGAGGTGTGGTCCAGAGTTGAGAAAACTTGAAAAAGAGAAGAAGAGGATGGAGGACATTCTCTGCAGCATAAGTAAGTCTATAATGTTAACTCTATTGTGGTTAATAGTACCTTTTGATAACCAAGGGTGTATACTGTCATTAAGAGCTGTACATCAACACTTCTTTTATCCTTTTTGTTTTTCAGAGCCAGAAGACATCAGAGTGGCTCGAGGATTTCTTAAAAATGTTGCTCTGTACCAGGAGAGCCCTGCAGCCTTGATCCACCCGTCACAGAAGGCTCTTCAGGAGCTCTTTCCCAATAGTGGCCTGTTCCTGTCATCCTTCAAGCTTGCCTCCATAATGCACCAATGTGACCATGACAGCCTTCGACTTTTCCATCTCCTTTTTGAACACTTCTTCACCGCAGAGGAGTGCACCAATGCAGTGGCTTTCGGACGACATGGCAAGATACCAGAGGGGAAGCAGCTGCTTGACCAAAGCAAAGTTGATGGAATTCTGAGTGAGTAGTTTTTCTGGTGTAATGACTCCAATGTTCTAGCTACTTTCTACTATTTTGCCTGC